TGGGGTATTTCCCACACCATATACATCATATCAGACAGCAAAGGTACAGTAGAAACAAAAGATATTTTGGAGTCTGTAATCTTGTGCCCTTGCCTAAAATGACATTGATATATTAGAGATTTTTCTCTTGGTGGACTGATACCTGCTGCATCTCTGATATGGTCACCAGCAGTGTCTAGTTTGAGTTTCTATCCTAAGCTCCCATGATGACAGATTGTGATCTGACAGAATCAGCCAAATAAACCCATTCATAACCTGAGATGTTTTATTTAGAGATTTTAATCATAGCACCAGAGAACCAAGTTAGAACAAAAATGGCATACAAAAAGTGATTCTGTTACTGGGCAGAACCTGGGAATGTTATCTTTTGGAGGAATATGGAAGATATCAGGATGTTGGATGGCAAAAGTGATAGAAAGCTCTACTCAAAGCTTAATAAGCTGCTCTTGTAGGACTTGAATGTTGAGAGTAATGACAGAGAGTAGAGGTCCAGGTCATAGTATTTCAGTGGGAAATAGACTCCATGATGAATGAAGCTAGAAGTCATTTGTGTGATCTTTTAGTCCCAACCCTTTCCTATTATGCCCATGCCCTGAGAAACTGAATACTGAAGAATTAAAAAATAATGGGCTGATTTTTTAGCTGGAATATTGAATCTCTTAGATGGCTATTACTGATGACTCATTCAGGACTACAATGAAAAGAGCAACAAGTGGGACAGAAATAAATAAAAATCTGTGGGTTGTAGGGAAAAACATGCCTGTGTAATTTCAGATGGTGGTCAAGTGGTGAACAGAAGCAGGAACTTTCAGGGAGTTTATCACCATTAAAAAGATGGCCTTTGCTCTACACTGGAAGCCAAACAAGATGCCCTAAGGTTAAGAATCCATCCTTCTACATCTTCAATTAATGGAAGGGTTAGGCAAAGTGATTCCTAGTCCCAGGAAGCAACTTCATACAAAATCTACTGCAACTCTCATCCAAGCATGACAGGGTCCATCACAACTTAGAAGCCAAATTTGGGGGAATCTTTGATGTTGTACTAGTTGTGGAAACAAGAAAGACGCCAAATTTCAGGTCATGGATTCTTAGTCTGTGGTTTCAGTTCAGCATTGTTGCAGGCATCTGTGTTTGGCAGAGTCAAGAGTGAGAAGACTGTGATTGGTTGTATTTTGAGACCATAAGATGTTGAGATAGTCAAGCTCTGAGATATCTGCCACAGAGACCTGCATATAGGGAATGGAAGGAACCAAAGAGAGATGTGTGAGAAGTTGCAGAGATAGGGCCATCTAAGCTCTTTGAAACTGAAACCCCATGTGTCTGACAGAGAACTACAGGATTTGTTGTTTGCCCTCCTGGGTTTCAATCTTGCCTTAGTTCAATTTTCCCTCACTATGTCCCCATTCCTCTCTTTCAAGATATAAATTTGTATTCTGTGCCATTGTATGTTGTAAAGATATAACTTGTTTTCTGATTTTACAAGATGTCACAGTCAAGCAATTGTCTCGAATGTCAGAAGAGATTTTGTACATTTGAACAGTGTAGAGGTTGTTTCAGATTATGAGGATCATTGAAGTTAGGCTTAATGCATTTTCATCTTGGGATGACCATGAGCCTATAGTGACCTGGGGCAGAAGGTAGTCGGCTGTGTGAAAAACCTCCCAGATAGATCATGTATTTGAACATGTCTCTCCTTGGTGGCTCTCTTTGGGGGTATTTGTGCTTTACTTAGGAGGAGCCTTTCTGGATGAAATTCGTCATTGGGTATGGGAGATGAGTATCTAATAGCCTCAACCCATTTCTTGTTCTTTGTGTCTACTGTGTTGTCATTGAAGCTGATCAGCCAGCTTCCTTCTTGTGCTGTCATGACTTTACCACCGTTATAGACTCTGTCCCTAAATCACATAAGATACAGTTGAAGCAATTGCTGTTCAATGCTAAACCATTTTGCTAGCTTGCTGTGTTTTTTTTTTTTTTTAATTTTACTGTTTTTGTTTTTGAAGACAGGGTTTGTCTGTGTAGCCTGGGCTGTCTTTCAAGTGGCTCTGTAGACTAGAATGGCTTCATACTCAGAGATCCACCTGATTTTGGCTCCCAAGTGCTGGGATTAAAGGTGGGCCAAAATTCCTGGGTTTTGTTTTGTTTCTATATTATTGGGTGATGAGCCTGGAATGTAGGCTTTTATACATGTCAAGTATGTGTGTTGTGCTGAGATTCACCAACATCTTTAATTTTGAAATTTGGCAGAGGGTATCATTCTTTTTTCCCAGGATGGCATGTATTCATGATACTAATACTCCCTGAGCCTTCTGAGTTATTGGATTGCAGGTGTGTGACATTCTTCCTGCCTGTTGTGTTTGCTTTGAATTTTTTAAATGAATGTGAGTCTTGTCTGTATGCATGAATATGCACCACACGGGTGCCTGGTTGTCACAGAAGTCCAAAGACAATTTTTTTTTATTAAGAAAATTTTTCCATTCATTTTACACACCAATCAAAGATTTCTCTCTTCTCTCCTCCCACCCCCCCAACTTCCCCTTCTCAACTCACTCCCTCACAAGAAGGCAAGGCCTCCCATGGAGAGGCACATCCAGTAGAGGCAAGTTCAAGCCCCTCCCCCTGCCTCAAGGCTGCAGTAGGTCTCCCATTATAGGTAGTGGGTTCCAAATGGCCCACTCATGCACCAGGGATGGATTAGCCCCCCCCCAAGCAGATCAAGCTACACAACTGTCTCACCATACAGAGGGCCTAGGCCAGTCCCATACAGACTCATGAGTTCCCACTAGTTTGCTTTGGTCATCTCTACTGGTTTCCCCATCATGGTCTTGATACACTTGCTCATAGAATCCTTCTTCTCTCTCTTTGATTGGACTCCTGGAGCTCTGCATCTGCTTCCATCAGTCATTGGAGAAAAGTTCTGTGATGACAGTTAGGGTATTCACTGATCTGATCACTGGGGTAAGCCAGTTCAGTTCAGGTACCCTCTCCACTATTTCTAGTAGTCCAAGCTAGGATCATCCTTGGGGAATCTTGAGAACTTCCCTAGCACCTGGTTTCTCTCTATGCCTATGATGTCTCCTTCTATCATGATATCTCTTTCATTGCTTTCCCACTCCATCCCTGTTCCAGCTCAACCATCCTGTTCCCTTATGTTCTCATTCCCTATCCCCTAGCCTCGATTGCCCCACCTCATCCCCAGTTTATTCACGGAGATTTTATCTATTTTCCCTTCCCAGAGTGATCCATGCATCACTCTTTGGGTCTTCCTTGTTAGCTGGCTTCTCTGGAGTTGTGGGTTGTAGCCTAGTTATGCTTTGCTTTATATCTAGTATCCACTTATGAGTGAGTACATACCATGTTTGTCCTTCTGCATCTGGGTTACCTCACTCAGTGTGATACTTTCTAGTTCCATCCATTTGCCTGCAAATTTTATGATGTCATTGTTTTTCTCTGATGAGTAGTACTCCATTGTATATATGTACCACATTTTCTTAATCCATTCTTCAGTTGAGGGGCATTTAGGTTGTTTCCAGGTTCTGGCTATTATGAATAATGCTGCTGTGAACATAGTTGAGCATGTGTCCTTGTGATATGATTGAGCATTCCTTGGGTATATGCCCAAGAATGGTATAGGAAGATTGATTCCCAATTTTCTAAGAAACTGCCATACTGATTTCCAAAGTGGCTGTATAAGTTTGCACTCCCAACAACGGTGGAGGAGTGTTCCTCTTGCTCCACATTCTCTCCAACATAAGCTGTCTTCAGTGCTTTTGATCTTAGCCATTCTGACAAGTGTAAGACGGTATCTCAGAGTCATTTTGATTTGCATTTCCCTGATGACTAAGGATGTTGAGCAATTCCTTTAGTGTCTTTAGGCCATTTGAGATTCTTCTGTTGAGAATTCTCTGTTTAGCTCTGTAGCCCATTTTTTAATTGCATTGTTCATTATTTTGATGTCTAGTTTTTTGAGCAAAGACAATTCTTGATAGAAATTTAGAGGAGAGAAAGACAGAAAACACAGGATAGCCTCAGGAGGGCCTGGATCCTAATCTATTGGACCTCAACTGTCTCTGCCAAAGGGCTTTTAAAGGAATGCCAAAGGTGTAGACAATTCTGGAACATGAATATAGAACTGGAGTGGATGCATAACTCTTTGTAGGAAGTTCACCAAAATCTTTTGAGTTCTTTCTATCTTTTTTGTTTATTTGAAGGATCTTTGCAGGGGAGACAGTTTCTTAATATGTACTTCTGGCTGTGTTGGAACTGATTACATAAATGAGGCTAGCGTTCAACTCAGAGGCAGACTCACCTGCCTCTGCCTTCAGAGTACTGGTATTAAAGGCATGAGCCAATACACCTGGCTTGCCCATCTTTTTTTTTTTTTTTTTTTTTTTTGGGAGTTAGTAATTGTTGGTACAATTTCTTTGATGTGTCCTCAGTACTATTTATCTGTTTGCTTATCTCTCTATTTGTATTAATAGGCATTTCTCTAACAAGGTGATATCAGATTTAAAAGTGCAGAAATGATAGAGGTGACCCTCCCATTCAATTTCCTTTTAATGTGACTTGGTGATTACATTAGAACTTCTGTGTCATGGAATAATTGTAAGAAGCAGAACTATATTTTCAAAGAAGTATACATTTACAATGTTGTCATTATCATTTTCGTTTGTATATATGTGTTGTAGCCCACCTAGGTTTCCTAGTGGCTTTACCCAGCAGGACTGCATAAGAGGATGATTGGACCACAGGCCTGAGTACCAGGTGTCTGAGATGGCCTGCACTTGGCTGTACTGGGGGGAGGTCTTTTGCTCCACCACCCCTTGGCATTCCTTTAAAAGCCCTTTGGCAGAGACAGTTGGAGCCCAATAGATTAGGATCCAGGCCCTCCTGAGGGTCTTCTGTGTTTTCTGTTTCTCTCCCCTCTAAATTTCTATCAAGAGTACCCTGGGGAAAAATGGAGGTGGGATGCTCTCCCACATATGTATACTATATTTTAGAATGCAGTGACCTATGACGATGTGCATGTTGACTTCACTTGGGAAGAGTGGGCTTTGCTGGATCCTTCCCAGAAGCGTCTCTACAAAGATGTGATGTTGGAGACCTACAGGAACCTCACTGCTATAGGTAAGACTGAATTTTCCTTCACATTTTAAAATAAAGGGGTGATGTTTCTTGGTTATTGATACTCTTCTGTAATTATGATTGAAAGTGAGGAAGGATGATATGAATAAAATAGTCATGGTTCCAAGATTTACTGAAGATAATAACTTAAATTTTACACAATTTCCAATAATATACATTTTCTGGTATATATTTTAGGTTACAAATGGAAAGATCATCATATTGAAGAACATTGTGAAAGTTCTAGAAGACATGGAAGGTAATTTTCATATGCAAGCTAATACAAATGTGCCTCAGAAGAAATTTTAAGGTGTCTGGAGGTTTAAAGAAAGCAACATTGTAAATAAGCACAGCTTAAAGTGCATTGGTAATTGTTAAATTCTCACAAAACAATATACCTCAATGTCAAGTAAGTAAATTGTGTTTGCAATGCTTTATTTTAAGAAAGGAGACAAGGAAACAATGCTATAACAGATATCACCATTTGAATCATAGCCTCATAAGAGCTATGCTGTAGAATTCTCAATCCATTTAGTTTCATATCACTCATATTACAAAAGGTATGCACGTTCAATAAGTGATAAGTATATGTTCAAAACCTTCTAATAAGCAAATAGTCTATAGTAAAGATTGTGTTACCCATATACTTGTTGTGACTTTGTAAAGTTTAATCAGAGGAGGGGTTGTTAGAGTCAAGAGCCCAGCAGTAATCATTGTGGAGAAACCCTATCTATATATCATATGTCTTTGAGGAACAGAAAGTCAAACTGTGTGAATGTAATGTGAACACTTTTTATTTGTTATTCTTTCCAGGATCCAAGCCATATGAACATAGGGATATCAAAAGAAACAACAAACCCCTCTCCCTCTCAGAACAATTAGAAGATATGTAGTAGACCCACTTAGAATAGCCTTGTTGAATGTGATTCAAGTTTACAAGTAATTGCTTTTCCAGCTTCATTGGAAATACATCAACAATCTCACACTGAAAAAACGTCCTATGAGTACTAGGAATATGTAAATACTTCTGTTTGTCCTGGCTCACTTTGCAAATGTAGTATGACTCATACTATAGGAAAATTTATGAATGTAATATGTGTGGTAAAGCTTTGAGTTTTTCCAGTTCTGTTCAAATATGTAAAATTCTCATATAAAAAAGTTGTTATAAATGCGAGTCATGTAATAAAAGCTCTTACCATCACAGGTATATTCAAAGATGCAAAATAACCCTTAATGAAGGGGAACATCAAGAGTATAAACAAAGTGATAAAAACTTAAGATCTGATTTCTTTTTACAATTAGACCAAATTTGTAAAATTAATTCATACAGATATATTCAACAGTATAACATATGTGATAAAGCTTTTACATGTGTCAATTATCATTGCAGGCATGAAAGAAGCCATACTGGAGAGAAACCATCTGAATATGCTCAAAGTGTTCATTCCTATGCATATCATAATCATCTTCAAAGGCATGAAAGAATCCATACTCGAGAGAAACCCTATGGATGTAATCAATGTGGTAAAGCCTTTTCACAACACTGGTATCTCCAAATACATAAAAGAGAACATACTGGAGAGAAACCCTATGAATGTAATCAATGTGGGAAAGCCTTTGCATGTAACAGTAGTCTCCAAAAACATAAAAGAACACATACTGGAGAGAAACCCTATGAATGCAATCAATGTGGTAAAGCCTTTGTATGTCACAATTATCTCCAAATCCATAAAAGAAAACATACTGGAGAGAAACCCTATGAATGTAATCAATGTGGTAAAGCCTTTACACGTCACTCTATTCTCCAAATCCATAAAAGAACACATACTGGAGAGAAACCCTATGAATGTAATCAATGTGGTAAAGCCTTTACACATCACTCTAGTCTCCGAATACATAAAAGGACACATACTGGAGAGAAACCCTATGAATGTAATCAATGTGGGAAATTCTTTATACTTCACTCTGTTCTCCAAATCCATAAAAGAACACATACTGGAGAGAAACCCTATGAATGTAACCAATGTGGGAAAGCCTTTGCATATCACAATTATCTACAAATTCATAAAAGAACACATACTGGCGAGAAACCCTATGAATGTAATCAATGTGGGAAAGCCTTTCCAGGTCCCAGTCATCTTCAAATGCATGAAAAAACACATACTGGTGAGAAACCCTATGGATGTAATCAATGTGGGAAAGCCTTTGCATCAAACAGTAGTCTCCAAATCCATAAAAGAACACATACTGGTGAGAAACCCTATGAGTGCAATCATTGTGGTAAAGCCTTTGCACGTCACAGTTATCTCCAAATCCATAAAAGAACACATACTGGTGAAAAACCCTATGAGTGTAATCAATGTGGTAAAGCCTTTGCATGTACTGTTACTCTCCGAAAACATAAAAGAACACATACTGGAGAGAAACCCTATGAATGTAATCAGTGTGGTAAAGCCTTTGCACAGCATAGTCATCTTCAAAGACATAAAAGCACACATACTGGAGAGAAACCCTATGAATGTAATCAATGTGGTATAGCCTTTTCACAACCCGCATATCTTCAAATACATAAAAGAACACATACTGGAGAGAAACCCTATGAATGCAATCAATGTGGAAAAGCCTTTGCATGTCACAGGAGTCTCCAAATCCATCAAAGAACACATACTGGTGAGAAACCATATAAATGTAATCAATGTGGTAAAGCCTTTGCATATCACAATTATCTACAAATCCATAAAAGAACACATACTGGAGAGAAACCTTATGAATGTAATCAGTGTGGTAAAGCCTTTGCACAGCAAGGTCATCTTCAGAGGCATACTAGAACACACAATGGTGGGACTTCTTCCCCTTTCCCTGGTTTTGGGACACCCCTCTCCCATCTGCCAGGACTGTGGACCTGGGAATTTCAAATGTACACCTAAAAGAAAAGTGTGCACCCCCTAAAATTCCTTAACTCCATTTTCTGCCCATTACTGTACATTTTTTTCTAGCAGATTTCTAATCAGTTAAAGGCTACAGACTGCTCCAACTGCTGCCTGCATGTTCCTAGTCCCAGAGGGTCCTATAAAGCCTGGACAACAAATGAAGCAGTCTGTTCTGTCTGGACTTGGTCAATATTCCAGTCTTTAGTGTTGCCAAGAATAGCCCAATGTCAGCAGGAAGTATCATGGATGATTTCAACATCCCTTGTCACTCATTTGTTATCAACAAAAATACTGGAATGTTAAGTTCCTTACCCAGGACATATAACTGAGGTGCTTATTCTTCACATCAAAGCTTGACCTGGCTACCAGGTTCTCCCAACTTCTCTCAGTCCCTACCTGCTACAGGGTATGGCTGAACATAACCTACCCTCTACATTGAACTCTCTACTCCAGGGTTTAGATTGCCCTTAAAAATGTTCTATAAACCCTGTCTCGAAAAAACCAAAAAAAAAAAAAAATGTTCTATTACTTATTGTATAAATTCTGCCCATGATCCTGATATGTATATTTTAATGTCTCCATATGTACTTTTGCCAGTTAATCTGGTATGAGGATCTTGATGTGTGTACATTTAAACAGGTTGCTATTGTCCTCTCAAAGTTAAAATGGTTTATTAATTGCTTTGATTACAATTTTGAGATCTATGTCAGCTTCAGTTACACTGAAGTTTTGGTTCAGCAGGTGCACACTGCTAATCAGGTGAACTCTTTATTTAGAAATGTATCATTAACATTGGTTACTCAAGAAAGGAGTGACCAAGGATTAACAGGTAGAGCTAATGCTTTAGAAGAAACCATTTTTTACATGGGGACTCAGATCCAAAATATTAAGACATGCTTAACCTCATGTCATGCTAACTATAAATGGATTTGTGTTACTCCTCTGCCTTACAGTAGATCAGAGATGTCCTGGGATCAAGTACAGCTCACCTATAAGATGTTTGAAATAGTTGTCAGCTATTAATAATCAATATGGATACTCTTCATTCTCAGATTAGTGCTATTAGTCATTCTAGGCTACAGATATCCTCTGCAAAAGAGGTAGCTAGTTACTTCACTAATTCAGTAAAAAATTTTGTTCAAAATAACTCTTTATGGAGTTTTATTAGTTTGGGAATCATTAGAGGATTAATTATTCTACTTCTATTCCTTCTTCCAGTCGTCTTCAGATGTTTAAGATCCACAGTATGCTCTGCCCAAAGTGAGATTCACACACTTCATTTAATCAACACAAAAGGAAGAGATGACCTTGTCCATGTTTGAGGAACAGCAGGTGTCAATTGACTTCAGAGTGTCAGCATACCAGGAGGAAAGTCTCTGATGGGTGAATTTTGGTAGGCAAGTCCCTGAGACCCCAGACCCCAGAGTGTCTTTTGCTTCTGCTGTGCCTTTACATGTTTGCCCCTGCCATCTTCCTTTGCTATCTGTCATGGTGTGAATGAGTGTGGGGAGATTCCCACTGCCTGTAATAATGTAGTGTGTTTATCTCATGAAACATCCCATTCTACTGGGCATTTTTTTAAATTTTTCTTTATTTAGAAATTTTTTCATTTTACATACTAACCACAGGTATCCCTCCATCCCTTTCTCCCACTCCCCCATACCTCCCTCTACCCCACCCTCATCCAATCCTCATGGGGATAAGGCCTCCCTTGGGTAATCAACATAGGCTGGCATACCAACTTGGGGCAGGACCAAGCCCCTCCCCCATGAATCAAGGCTGAGCAAGGCATCCCACCATAGGTAATTAGCTCTAAAAAGCCTGTTCATGTACCTGGGATAAGTCCTGATCCCACTGCCGGGGCCCCACAAACAGATCAAGCCACACACCTGTCACCCACATGCAGAGGGCCTAGTTCATTCCCATGCAGGCTCCCCAGCTGTCAGTCCAGAGTCCATGAGCTCCCATTAGCTTGGGTCCGCTGTCTTTGTGGTTTTTCCCATCATGATCTTGACTCCCCCCTTGCTCCTATAATTCCCCCTCTCTTCAGCTGAACTCCAGGAGCTCAGCCAAGTGCATGGCTGTAGGTCTCTCCATCTGTTTCTATCAGTCACTAGAAGTAGGTTCTATGATGACAATTAGGGTAGTCACCAATCTAACTACAGGGAAGGCTAGTTCAGGTACCCTCTCCACCATTGCTAGGAGTCATAGTTGGGGTCAACCTTGTGGGTTCCTGGGGATTGCCCTAGCACCAGGTGTCTCCCTAACCCCATAATGGCTCCCTCTGTCAAGATATCTTTCATTGCTCTTGCTCTCCATCCTTCATCCTTCCCCCAACATAGCCATCTCAATCCCTCATGTTCCCACCCCTCATCTTCTCCCCTCATTCCCCCTCCCAGTTTACCCAGGAGGTCTTAACCATTTTGCCTTCCTGGGGAGATTGATGCATGACCCTTTTAGGGTCCTCTACCTATCTTTTCTGGGTTTGTGGATCATAGCCTAGTTATTCTTTGCTTTGAATCTAATATCTATTTATAAGTGAGTACATACCATGTTTGTCTTTCTGAGTCTGGGTTACCTCATTCAGGATGATTTTTTTCCAGTTCCATTTATTTGCCTCCAAATTTCTTGATATCATTGTTTCTAACAGCTGAGTAATGCTCCATTGTGTAAATGTACCACATTTTCTTGACCCTTTCTTTGGTTGAGGGGCATCTAGGTTGTTTTCAGGTTCTGGCTCTTAAAAATAATGCTGTTATGAACATAGTTGATCAAGTGTCCTTGTAGTATACTTGAGCATCTTTTGGGTATATGCTCAAGAGGGGTAATGCTGGGTCATGAGGTAGGTTGATTCCTAATTTTCTAAGTAACCTCCATATTGATTTCCAGAATAGCTGTACAAGATTACAGCAGTGGAGGAATGTTCCCTTTTCTCCACATCCCCTCCAACATAAGGTGTCATCATTGTTTTTTATCTTAGCCATTCTGACAGGCATAATTTGGTATCTCCTGATATCTCCAAGGGGTGTTGGATTTTGTCAAAGGCATTTTCAGCATTTAATGAGATGACCATGTGGTTTTTTCAGTTTGTTTATTTGTTGGATTACATGTGCATATTTTCATATGTTGAACCATCCCTGCATCTCTGGGATGAAGTCTACTTGATCATGGTAGATGATATTTTGATGTGTTCTTGGATTACATTTGCCAGTATTTTATTGAGTATTTTTGCATCAATGTTCATGAGGGAGATTGGTCTGAAATTCTCTTTCTTAGTTGTGTCTGTGTAGTTTGAGTGTCAGGGTATCTGTAGCCTCATAAAAAGAGTTTGGCAATGTTCCTCCTGTTTCTATTTGTGGAACAGTTTGAGGAGTATTGATATTACTACTTCTTTGAAATTCTGGAAGAATTTTATGCTGAAACCATCTGATCCTGGACTTTTTTTGGTTGGGAGACTTTTAATGATTGCTTCTATTAGCATCCTTAGAGGTTATAGGTCTATTTAAATTATCTATCTGATCTTGATTTAATTTTGGTATTTAATTTTCCTTTCAGGAAAATTGTCCATTTCTTTTACATTTTCCAATTTTGTGGAGTACAGGTTTTTGAAGTATATCCTAATGATTCTCTGGATCAGTGTGTGTTGTTACATTCCCCTTTTCATTTCTGATTTTGTTAATTTGGATATTCTTTATCTGCCTTTTGGTTAGTTTGGATAAGGGTTTGTCTATCAAAGAACCAACTCTTTGTTTCACTGATTCTTGCTATTATTCTCTATGTTTCTATTTTATTGATTTCAGCCCTCAGTTTGATTATTTCCAGCCATCTACTCCTGGGTGAATTTGCTTCTTTTTGTTCTAGAGCTTTCAAAATTTTTCCAGATTCTTTATGTAGGCACATAGTGCTATAAACTTTCCTCTTAGCACTACTTTCATAGCATCCCTTAAGTTTGGATATGTCATGGATTCATTTTCATTGAATTCTAAGAAGTCTTTAATTTCTTTCTCTACCCAGTGGTAATTCAGTTGAGAGTTGTTCAGTGTCTATGAGTTTATAGGCTTTCTGTAGTTTGTGTGGTTGTTGAACTCTAACTTTTACCCATAGTGATCCAATAAGATACATGGAGTAATTCCACTTTTTTTGTATCTGTAAGATTTGCTTTGTGACTGAATGTGTGGTCAATTTTAGAGAAGGTTCCATGAGGTGCTGAGAAGAAGGTATGTTCTTTTGTGTTTGGGTGAAATGTTCTATAGATGTCTCTTAGGTCCATTTGAGTCATACCATCTGCTAGTTCCCTTATTTCTCTATTAAGTTTTGGTCTAGCAGACTTGTCCATTGGTGAGAGTGAAGTGTTGAAGACTTTTAATGTGTGATATTTGATGTGTGATTTAAGCTTTAGTAATGTTTCTTTTACAAATGTAGGTGCCCTAGTATTTGGGGCATAGATGTTCAGAATTGAGACTTCATCTTCATGGATTTTTCCTGTGATGAATACAAAATGTCCTTCTCCATCTCTCTTTATTAACTTTAGTTTGAAGTCTATTTTATTAGATATTAGGATAGCTATACCATATTTCTTAGGTCCATTTGGTTGGAAAATCTTTTCCTAACCCCTTACTCTGAGGTAATGTCTGTCTTTGAGGTTGAGGTCTGTTTCTTGTATGCAGCAGAAGGATGGATCCTGTTTTTGTACCCATGCTGTTAGCCTGTGTCTTTTTATAAGCAAATTGAGTCCATTGATATTAAGAGATGTTAATGACCACTGATTGTTAATTCTTGTTATATTTGGTTTTGGTGGTGGTGCTGTATTTGGTAGTGTGTGTGTGTGCTTCCCTTCTTTGGGATTTGCTGGTGTGAGGTTATCTTTTGCCTGTGTTTTTTTGGGTGCAGCTAACTTCCTTGAGTTGAAGTTTTCCTTCTAGTGGTTTCTGTAGGGCTAGATTTTTGGATAGGCATTGTTTAAATCTGGTTATGTCATAGAATATCTTGTTTTCTCCATCTATGGTGAGTGAAAGCTTTGCTGGGTATAATAGTTTGGGATGGCATATGTGGTCTCTTAGTGCCTGTAGGACCTTCTGGCTTCCAGAGTTTCCATTGAGAAGTCAGGTGTAATTCTGATTGATCTGTCTTTTTATATTACTTGGCCTTTTTCCTTTGCAGCTCTTACTATTCTTTCTTTATTCTGTATGTTTAGTGTTTTATTATGTGGCAAGGTGACTTTTTTTTTGGTCCAGTCTATTTGATGACCTGTCAGCTTCTTGTGCCTTCATAGGTATGTCTTTCTTTAGGTTAGGAAAGTTTTCTTCTATGATTTTGTTGAATATATTTTCTGTGTCTTTGAGCTGGAATTCTCCTTCTTCTATCCCTGTTATTCTTAGGTTTGGTCTTTTCATGGTGTCACAGATTTCCTGGATGTTTTGTGTTAAAAATTTGCTGGATTTAACATTTTCTTTGACTGATGAATGTATTTCCTCTATTGTATCCTCAATGTCTGAGATTCTCTCTTCCATCTTTTGTATTCTGTTGGTTATGCTTGCATCTGTAGTTCCTCTTCATTTACTCAGATTTCCCTTTTCCAGAATTCCCTCAGTTTGTGTTTTCTTTATTGCCTGTGTATTTCAATATTCAGGTCTTGAACTGTTTCCTTCACCTGTTTGATTGTTTTATCTTGGCTTTCTTTAAGGGGTTTATTGATTTTTGTCAAACTTTTTTGTTTGTATTTTCCTCCATTTCTTTAAGGGAAATTTTCATTTCCTCTTTAAGGGCCTCTATCATCTTCATGAAGTTATTTTTAAGGTTGTTTTCTTCTGCTTCATCTGAGTTGGGATGTTCAGGTCTTTCAGTTGTAGAACCACTACTTTCTGTTGGTGCCATATTGCTCTTTATGCTGTTGAATGTATTCTTACACTGCTGTCTACCCATTTCTTCCTCCAATCTATACAGGTGGAGCCTGTGTCTCTGGGAGTCCCTCTTCCTCCAATCGGTGCAGGTGGGGCCTGTGGGTCCAGTGGTTGCTCTTCCAGTTGGTGAAGGTGGGGCCTACATTTCCAGTGGTCACTGGTGCCATGGGAGAAGGTTGCTGAGAGGGTGGGGGAGGATGCTGTTGCCTGGTCTTTGGGGCTGGAATTGGTGGGGAAGGGGCACAGTCCAGCCAGCAGCTCAGGGACTCACAGCTTCTCAATCATCTCTAGTGCCACAGGGGATCTCTACTGGGCATTTTTACCTGTGGATTATTATGAAGATGATTCCTTTCCTAAGCTCTACTGTCTAATTGATAATAATAATATTAGTTTATTCAGTTTTGATGAATAAAAATAGATACAAGGAAATATAACACAGCTAGGCTTATGAGTTTCCCCTAAGGAGCTATATAGATCACAGTTTAGGTTAATGACTAAGGAAAACAATTGAGCCCCCAGGAGCCAGGCTGGCTGTAATTCTTTTAATGCTGAATAATGCAGTCACAGGTTGCTGGGTGCATCATTAGCTGAAACAGTGCCTTAAAATAACTTCAAGTTAGCTCCAATGTTTTGATAATAACTTTGAGATGACAAACTTCAGAAAACAATCGAAAGTTCACAAGAACACATAGTTGAGTTATAGATTCATTAGTTTAGGGTCAAAAATACAAAGCAGCCCAATTGTTACTACCTGACATACTTTTCTTGCTAGGTTTGGTTGGTGATCAAAGGCGATAATTAATTCTTTGTACCCATTTTTGTACCCTTAATTTGTACCCTTAATTGCCTGATATAAGAAACTATTGATGAGTGGTATGCATGACAAAGATTCAAAGTAGAGCTGACTGATTCTTTTTCATATATAAAAGTTTAGGTTTGTGATTCCTTTAAGATTCCTTATATGATTACCTTTGAAGATAAGTAATAAAGTAATTGGCCCTGTCTTTGTAACTGCAAAACTGCAGCCTGCCAGTAAAAAAAACTGAGAAAAATATCTTGCTTGCCTATATAGTTAATCTATATCAAGTTGCTTGGCTATGAATGTATGTGGGTTCTTTTGATAATTTGTTTTTTATCTGTTATATGTTTAATATGTAAATTTTTAATCGTAAGGAATATAGAAAACATGCTGTTTTATACTGTTTGTTTGATATTCATTGTAATCATTCACTTGTAATTTTTATATTGTGTGGATGATTTTGTTGGGGTATATAAGGTGTAAGAAAAAGAATAGAGTTAAAATAGACTAGAAGGAAAACATCAATAAAGAGAGTTAAAATGAGTTAGAAGGAAAACATCAAGAATGAGACTTAGAAGGAACTAGAAGAGAAACATCAATAATAAAGAGTTAGATGGAATACATCTGGAAAGAGAGAAGGAAATCACCAGGAAAAGAAAGAATAGAGAATGCAAAAGAATAAAGAAAAGATCTGAAGGAAACTATCAAGAGAGAATTTGTCTTTTTCCTTAACCCCAGAAGTCATAGTATGCACCAACTCTGTGGATTTCTCTTTGAGCCCTGTACTGTTGGAGGCTAACCATGTGTAAAGGTAACCATGCAGCAATACTTTTACACATCACAGTCATCTCCAAATGCATAAAAGAACACATACTGGCGAGAAACCCTATGAATGTAATCAATGTGGTAAGCCTTTTTTACATCACTGTAATCTTCAAATACATAAAAGAACATATATTGGAGAGAAACCCTACCAATGTAGTCAATGTGATAAAGCCTTTGTATGTGTCATTAGTCTTTGAAATCATGAGAAAAAATCATACTGCTGAGAAACCATGTAAATGTAGTCAGTGTGGTAAGGATTTGCAATTCATGGTAGTCTTTATACAAGAGTAAAAGTTGAGAAACTGAACAAACTCATACTGAAGAGAATCTATTAAGGATTTGACAATCCTCAGCCAACACTTACATTCAGTAACACAAGATTCTTTATTCTGGAGAAAACAATTTGACAATGTCAACAATCTGTCCAAGCATTATGATATCCCTCTTTATTTTGTTTGCACCTGCAAACTCATATGAATAAAAGCCCTATGAATTTAAACAGTAAAGTAACCACTTTAGATTTCACACTTCTCTTCAATTACATGAAATAACAAATCCAGTTATAAAACTTTATATATGTGGACCCATGCGGTGCTTACCATTTCTAGGCCTGGTGGACCTCGGGCACTGGGGCAGTCAGGCACCAGTATAATTTTTGGAAGCAGGGTCATGTCCAGTGCTATGATGGACTGACTGGTACAAGGAGACACGTATGCAGCACCAGGCACACAGGCACTATTATGGTGAGCAAATGTATGGTATCCTATGGGAGAGAGCCAGAATGGTTCATATCCTGTGGACAGAGACATCTGAAAGAGGTGAGTGGGCTGCCTTAATTGCCAGCCAGGGCCTTTGTGATGTCTGGGCCTGGGTTGCTGCCACCCCATGTCTGTGTTTATGGCCCTGAGTCTGTTTTCATGTCTGCAGCTCCTGATGCCTCTGAAGGCTGAGAACATACAGTTGTGCAGAGTTGGCCCACCCCCTCATTAGCTGCAGCTCTAAGGAGAACAGGTCCTGAACTTCACCAGCTGAAGCACTCAGGAGAGGGTCCTACACCTCACCTGGGTAGCACAAGAGAACTGACCCTGTTAAGAGTGGCAAAGGCAAGCTGGCTCTGAGGGTGTGAAAACAGGACAGGAGGTCATGCCTGCCATGTGGTGAGGGAAAGATGCCTCCTCTCACCCCTTGCAGTTGTAGCACTCAGGAGAATGGGCTCTGAATCCTGCCTGGTTACCAGAGTAGATTTGACCCTGTAAACAGGTGCACAAGGGAGCCACAAATTGAGTGGCATAGCTGGTACCTCCTCTCTTGTCTTCAGTGAAGTAGTGGGGGTGATAGAAAGATGTCCTCACCCTTCCTCCAGTTGGTGAGGAAACTTACCCTTCCCTTTATTCAGGAAACTGGGTCTTGCACCTCCTCTGGGCATCACAATAGAGCTGACCCTATTGAAAAGGGCAGGGGTGAGCCTCCTGAGAACATAAGCTTGGGAGATCTGGTCCTCCCCCTCTGTGGCTGAGGTGTGGAGCAGGAGAGCTGCTCCTGTCCTTCCCCAGCTGTAGCACTCCCAGGCAGCACAGTAGAGCCACCCCTGTTGGCAGAGGTGTGAGTGAGCCAGCCCCAAAGTTGTGAGCATGAGAGAGCTATCCCCACTAATTGTCATGTGGACAGGGGAGAGTTGCCAACACTTACCCCCCCCCCCTTGAAACCTGCAACAGAACAGGGAGCTGACTCTTCCCCTTACCAGCTGCAGCACTCAGGAAAGCAAGAGCTGCCTACCTGAGTAGCACAGTAGAGCTGACCCCATTGATGTAAGCACAGGAGAGCAGACCCTGAGGGTGTGAGAGTGGGATAACTGGCCACACCCCACTCATCTGCCATGTGGTGACCAGTGCAAGGGAAAGATGTCTTCCTCCTTAGCCCCATCACCTGTGGTGGGCAAGGGAGCAGACCCTTCACCTTACCAGCTGCAGCACTAAGGAAATTGTGCCCTGCACCTGTCCTAGACAGATCAGTAGAGCTGATGTTACCTGCCAGGGTGCATATGAACCACCCTAAAAACACAAGGTGGTGTGGGTGGGGGAGAGATGCCACCTGTGGGAGGTGGGAGATCTGGCCCTGAGGTCATAAGAGTGGGAGAGCTTTCCCTGCCCTTCATCTGTTGTAGCACTCAGGAGAATAGCCCCTGAACACACCACACCTGGTCAACACAGTTGAACTGGCCCTGATGGTGTAGAGCCAACCCTGAGGACATGAAAGCAGGAGAGCTGGCTCTGCCCCTTCTCATCACTGCAAGGACAGTGGTGTAGAGCTCACCTTGATGGTGAGGACAAGGGAGAGATTGCAGGCTGACCAAACCTGCAACTACCCAGGCCCAGAACCAGGGTCATGTGTTGGCCCACCCAACATCCACTACATTTGTGATCTGTAGGAGCATAGGAATGGCCTGGTCTGGCAGACCAAAGGCTGCAGGATCTCCATGACACAGGGCAATAGGATATCCAAGAGGAGTCTCATTGAGAGCCCAGCATTGCCAGTGTAGTGTTGTGGAATACTATTTTAAGATGTGTTACATTTATTTATGTAATGGAACACTTGTTTTAGTGATTCAAAGACATGTTTCATTCTTTTATGTTGCATTTGTTTAACTCTGTGAAGCTGTGATACTTTGCCTGTCTAAAATACCTTATTGGTCTAATAAAGAGCTGAATGGTGGACAGCTGAGCAGACTGAAAGGATAGGTGGGGCTGTCAGGCAGAAGGAATAAATGGGAAGAGAAATGTAGAGGATGGAGGAGTGAGAAGAAGGAATGAGAACAAGAAAATGAGGATGCTAGGGGCCAGTCACACAGCCATAAAGTATGAGTGAAAGTAAGATATACAGAAGTTAGAGAAAGATTAAAGCCCAGAAGCAAAAGGTACACAGGATAACTTAAGAAAAGCTGGATAGAAATAAGCCAAAATAAGACCAGGCAGGCATTTATAAGAAAGAATAAGCCTCCACGTGTGATTTATTTGGTAGTTGGGTGTTGGGCCCCTTAAAGAGTAAAGAGTAAAATAACCAACAAAATTCTGGTATCCCTACATGGGCCATGTTTTCATAGGGCCTGAGAAAGCTTTGAAAAAAGAGAGAGAGATGGTAGCCAGGCGGTGATGGCACTTCCTTTTAATCCTAGCACTCGGGAGGCAGAGGCTGGCAGATCTCTGAGATTGAAGCCAGCCTGGTCTATAAGACAGACAGGGCTACACAGAGAAACCCTGTCTCAATTTAAAAAAAAAAAAGAGGATATGGCTCCTTTAAGGGTTTTTTTGGGACAATGAGCCCTTAAGCAGCTAGCACATTAAGTAGGAACAAAAAACTAAGTACAAACACCAGTCATGGTGCATGGTACTGGCATTCTATAGCTAGGAAGGTTTAATGCAGTACTGAGTCATGAACTGCAGACTGGACTGTAATCTTTAGGCTTGGTTTTCACAACCTGAGAAATGAATGGAGCTAGCCACCAAAGCTGGGGCCAAGGTCCAAAGCCACTCTGCTCAGTAGATTTTTTGCTCATGCAGACAAAGTAAGTGAAAAAATATGCAGTAAAAGAGGTTCAGACAGAAAAACTTCTAAACAGGTTCCAGTGTGTTTTACAATGCATAGGCTTAAGAAAGAAAAGAAAATGGGTATACGCAGTTATACAAAGAAATAGTTTTTTAAAAAGTCTTTAAGAGACAGTAAAAATAATAATAAAGAATAACCATGTAGAGATGGGAAATACACAGGGATTCTGGATCCTATATGGTGTTGTGTTGATTTTGAACAGCCAAGGACAGCTGCTAAGAGACCTGGAGTTGAAAGAGGGACTGTTGAAATAAACCAGCCTATGTACTTTAGGAATGTCTTAATTTTGAAATGGAAGTCAAAAAGTGAAAAATGGAACTTAAAAGATGCAATGCCTTGGAGAAAAGGTTTTGCTTTCACAGGAAATGAGAGGCTGTGGATTCCTTCCAGATTAATATGGATTATGTTTGATTGGGGAAGACCAACTGAATCTTGACAGGTGATACATAGCAAGAAAGGTTATAGCTGGTCTTCCCAGGATTTGACCATTTTCTCAGGAACCCTAAAGATGCCTTCACCAACAGACAGCAGAAAGCAGTTTGGAGAACATGACACCCACATTCCTAAGAGGGGTGTGGGAAGCTTTTTGTTATATGGTGGGCTATGAATGTTTGTTATCATTTAGGGGAATATTGTATATTGATACAAATTTAAAGTTACACTGTATGTTTCTACTCTTGTTTAAGTTATTGTACCTATGCCATTCATTTAAAAATATAAGGTAACGTTCTAGTTTTATAAACTAGGATAATCAAGAAGCATAGGTTAGTGGTTGGTCATCTATAAAAATAAAATTTGTAGATATGATAGACATGTTTTCTAGATTATACAGAGATACATTTTAGGTAGATAAATGGTCTTCCAACACTTCAAAGACCTACAGAATTTGGCATTTAAAATGTTTTGTTAAATTAGGGATTTTCATGACAAAGACACATCTGCTCCTGGCAGGACTAATTTACTTCATTAAAAGGATGATGGACATTGAAGAAACTCCATAGGAGTTTGCTTTCATTGTAGCAAGATTAGCCATTTGGGCAAGAAACTGCTTTTGCCTTGACTGCTTGACTGTGTGCTGTGCAGACTGGACATGCCGGACCCACAGGCGAGTGACTGCTGAACTTTGCCAAACAAGGCAGGACAGTCCTTTGAGATTCTTGCTTCATGGAAGAGTCTGGCAGACATTCTGCAGGACACAGAGGAAGGCAACTGATGAACTTTGCTAATACAAAGCAGGACAATCCTTCAAATTTCCTGCTTCAATGAAAAGTCTGCC